TTAAAGTCAAAGAGAGTTGTATTTCAAATGAGAGGCATGGATTCAAATCGTAGCTCCAATGTTCCGTAATTGTGTCACATTATGGAAATCACTTTTACCTTCCTTTCCCTACCATGCTTAGTTTCTTCATATCCAAAATGGGAATGACTGCTGTCCTTCATACTTGAAGAGGATCAAAATGACATCACTATGCCAGTGTATCTGACTGTGGCCAATCAGACCAATATGAGCTCAGAAGTCTGGCTTTACCACAAATTGGGCACAAATAATCTACATGAACATTTGGAATGGAGATGTCTCTAAATTTGTGCATCTTGTGTTTCTTTTGAGCTACTGCAATTCTACTTTGCTCATGGAGCAAAGCATATTTTTTGATGTGGGTGCACCTTTCTGGAGAGTCTTTTGCCAGTCTCCCAATCAATTCCAAAGTTTTTCAGATAGATCTGGAGAGTGTTCTTGTATCACTTCGTCTGACCTCCATATGAGCTCTTATCTTAAATGAGTTCTCCATAAAATGGTCTTTTAGGCAAATGTACATTTGGCATTTGAACAATGTGGCTGGTCCATCAGAGTTGTGCTCTTTGCAATAGGGTTTGAATGCTTGGTGATCTTCAGAATCCTTCTAAATTGATTCAAGTGGAAGCAAATTCAATTTCCTCTCATGGCACTAGTATACTGTCTAGGCTTCACAGGCATACAACAATGAAGTCAGCTTTTTAGAGCGTAAGTTTGGTAGGCAGCCTAATACCTCTTCTCTCTCACACTTTTATTATGAGCCTCTCAAACACTGAGCTAGCTCTGGCATTATGTGTATCAACCTCATCATCCACCTGTACATCCCTGTAAAGTATACTACCAATGTAAGTGAACTTATCCATAGCATTCAAATTTTCTCCATTTGCTGTAACTGATGGTTCCATTTATAGATGGTGCAGTGCTAACTGGGGAAGAATCTCTGTTTTCTTGGTGTTGATTGTCAGGCCAAAATGAGCACAAATGGCAGAGAAGCACAGGAGCAGGTACACAGCCCTGCTTCACTCCACTGGTAACTAGGAAAAGGACGAGAGCGTTATCCATTCTCCAGAACTTGTGCAAGCATGACATCATGGAACTGGCATACACTACTAATGAACTTTTCTGGACAACCCAATTTTGCCATGATCTTCCACAAGCCCTCATGACTGAAAGTATCAAAGGCTTTGGTAATATTGATGAACTTTGTGTATAGACCTCTGTTCTGCTCCTAGCATTTCTCCTGAAGTTTTTTGGCAGCAAATATCACATCAGTCATTCCTCGGCTCTTTCTGAAGCCACACTGGTTGTCTGGTAGATGACCATCTTCCAGGTGCAGGATCAGCCAAATAAGGAGGATTCTGGCAAGAATCTTGCCAGTAATGACTAAGAGAGAGATTCCCTGTGATTATCACAGGACAATCTATTTCCTTTTCCCTCATAGAGATGGACAATAGAGGCATCCTTGAACTCCTGGGGGATAACCAACTCTTGCCATATAACCCGGAAGATTTCAGTCAGCTTTTGTATGAATAGTGGACCCCCTGCCTTGTAAATCGCTGCTGAAATAGAATCAGTGCCAAGCACTTTGCCACACCAAAGAAACCTAATGACATTCAGAACCTCCTCTTCAGTTGGGAGTTCAGCCAGAGAGGGACTGACTTCAACCTGAGGTAAATAGTCTGTGGTTTCAACATTGTGCAGCAACTGTCTTTGAGAACACTATGGAAGTATTGAGCCCATCTGTCCAGGATGTGTTCTTATCACTAATCAATGTAGCTCTAATCTGTGCTGAGTAGTTGAGATCCACCATAGGTCTTTGGCCCATAAATAGCCTTCAGGGCAGGGGCCATCTCCAGTCCTCCTGATCTATATCTTGCCACTGGACTCAGATGACTCCCAAGGAGAAAGTGAGGCTGGTGATTTTATACAGCCCTCCCTCACTTCACTTGCAAATCGTGGCATCATCTTCCTGTGGTCATGGTTCTCTTCAAGAATGAAGGACAAACAACAACAACAACAGCAGCAGCCCGTATGCCTTCAGGGCATCATAAAAGTTCTTTGGATAGTTACTATCAGTGTAAAACTGAATTTCATCTGCCTTCTTACTGAGCCAAGAATACTGCATCTCTCTAAGCTTTGGTTGCACTTTACTCTTTTTGGAGTTAAATATATGCTGCCTTCTTTAGAGACAGAAGAACAATCCCTCTCTTTGATCCTGTAGAGCTCTTGTTTTTCATTTAGTAACTTCTGAATTTCCCCATCATTTTCATCAAACCAATCCTGAAATCCACTAGTATTCTGGCCCAGATGAGTAAATGCGGTGCTATACGCCAAATCTCAGAAAGCTGCCCACTCCTTTAATGCTCCATGTTGCTAACCATATGTTGGCTCAGCTTTCCCTCCAAGTTAGTAATGTGTTCATGTATGGAGAAGCACTCTAATCTTGACATTAAGTTTTCTGGCAGTCATTTTGTCGTGGGGCTGCCACTTTCGCTGAATGCAAATGTTTAGTTTGGAGATGATAAGTCTATGATCTGTCCAGCACTGCACTACACATCACCACTACCATTTTCACATCCATCTGTCTCCTCTCCTTACAGTGACGTAGTCTATTAAATGCCAGTGTTTGCCGCAAGGGTGCATCCTTGAAGTTTTATTGCATTTAGATGAACAGAAGAACAGATGAAAAGGTCATGAGACACACAAGTCTTCAGTGAGCATTGCTGTTGCTTTTTCTGACTCCATTCCTCCCAAGGACTCCCTGCCTTATATGATAGTTTGTGCCTACTCTGGCCTGAAAGTCACTCAAAATTACAAGCTTGTCCTCTTTCAGCACATTGCTGATGAGGGTCTCCAGTGCTTCATAAAATTTTGCTTTGACCTCATCAGGGTTCATCATGATGAGAGCACATGCACTGATGATGGTGGCATTGCACTTTCCTGCAAGTGAAATCACATTATCATGAACCTGTCATTTACTCCTTTGGGAGGCATGCTAGCCTGTTGACTAGATTAGATTTGATTGTGAAACCTATGCCAGCTTCATAGCACTCATCATCATGGCAACCACTCCAGAAAAACACATATCCAGCTTTGACTTTGGTAAACTGGACTTCATTTGCCAGCTTTGTTTCACTCAGATCTGCTATTTGGTTGTGATACCTGCCGAGTTCTCTTGCAATAAGACCTATTCATCTTTCAGATCTACTGGATTTTGTGTTGTCCATAAACATTCACACATTCTATGTATCAATGGTGAGTGGAATCATCTTTACAAAAGTTTTTGTCCTTTTTTTGTATTTCAGCCACAGGGTAGGAACCTTGTCTACTGCAATAAGCAGACCAGGGTTAGGTTAGGTAAAGCAGACAATTTTTAGGACACTTTTTCTAGCCCCTTCCTTACATCAGGAGGTGAGCAGTGCAGGCCTTTAAAAAGGCTGCTCAGACACCCAGGGGGCTGCCAAATCCCACTACTGCTTCAGTTCAGTGAGAATACAACCCTATGTTCTGGGCTGCCTGTATGTAGAGTTGTGAGCCTCACTCTCTCCAAGAATCATTAGAGTGCAGTGACAAGACAAAGTCAAGATGACTGGTGATGGCTCAGGATACAGTGGATGACCTTGGCATTGTTGATGTCTAATGAAGCTCTAAGTGCTCCACAGCACCTGCTTCCACCTTCATGGCCTGTTGGAACAAATTGTTCTCATCCTCCCAATCAACCAAAGAAGTCTTTAAAGTCTTCACATGCATGGGGTATGCATCCCCTTAACTCACCAACAGGTTTGAAGCCCATCAACTACCCTCAACTTTGTTTAGCCTATCTGCCAAAATGGTTTTATCAGGGTATGGCTGCTATACGTGCTACAGCTTCTTGGAACCACAGGTGAGAGTTGGGTGGCAAGTGGACACGAAAGGTAGAAAGTGGCCCTGAAAAGGGCTTGGTAGCCCTCACACCAGAGGCTTCCCTTAACACCTTGTATAGCCCAGAGTGGGAATAATAATACAACCAGTGCCTCCTTCACAGGGTCATTGTGAGGAAATCATTTTGGATACCTCAAAGTGCTATGTAAATATGAGTTACTATTATTAATCCATGTAGCAGTTTTTACATTGTTACAGCTTAAGTTCAAGTCTATAGTTTTATAAAATTAAAAATTAAAAAGTGCAAATGAGAAGTTATTGTTTAGTATCTCTCTATTTTAAGTGTACAAATTGATACTCATGCTTCCTATGAATAAAGGTATAATTGCTTGTGCCTAGCCAGCCTTCACCTTAATTTATCATTCTAATAAACATGTAGAACATTTAGGAAACTGAAATTCCCTACCACTATAGTAGTTGAGTATATGAGCTTTATAACCTTCACTCCCTCTTAGCCTCCCAACAACCACCACTGTTTTATTAACACTTTAGCGTCTCCTTCTGCCTCCTCCTATTCACTCATAACCAGGAAGCAAATAGAGATAATCCAAAGGATTACAGAAATATAAGGCATTTGTGGGTCCCACAAAACATATGAAAATTTCACAAGCCTGAATTTGAAGATTGTGTCCTCTATGAAACTGTCTCTGGTGGCTTTGTCCTTCACTATAATACATTTAACTTGACATCATAAAGTACCTAGGTGCCATGGAGGGCAAAATTTTCTGGAATTAAAAATGTGTACTTATGAAAAACAATATTAAAAAAGCATTTTTCCTTTCACTTTCCCTTCATGTTATACTCCTGACAACTTCCTCTATTATCTGCTCCTACTTTGATCTAACAGTTGTGAATACAGTACTTCACTAGTTCTATCTTCCTATGTCGTCCTAAATTTACATTGCTGAACAATGTATACCCTCTTTAAATCTTTAAAATAAGATTTAATGGTGGATAATACAATTTTGATCATCTCTTCAGCACATTTTAATGTAATAGGCCTAAGAAATTAAAAGAATAATGCTCTTGAATAATATATTACATTAATGGACTGTTCTCTTTAGGCAATTGCTTGGTATACTCCTATCCATTGGCAACAAACTTGGGAGGGATTTGACACTGACAAAAAATATACCAGAAGCCCACTGGCAATTTCATCACCTAAAGTACAGCTGAATCGGACACCATCTACAGTAATCAAAATAAAACAAGATCAACAAACCACAACAATACTGGAGGAGCAAGTTCATGTTTTTCTTAAGAGGTACATACTCATATTTATCTTGTTCAGAATGGTTGTTAATTAAGTACTATCCAAGCATCTGGTGACAAGATGGCAGCAGATAGAGAAATAGACCAGTGGAGATAAGAAATAACATGAACTGTTGCTCCAAATTTGAAAAGGATCCATGTTGTAAAGTGCTATGTAAATGTGAATTACTATTATTAATCTATGTAACAGCTTTTACTGTGTTACAGATGTTTACATTGTTACGTGTTGCAAGCAAAAGAAAAATATTTTTGGGGGTTTCCAACAGCAGGCACAAATGTAAGGAGAGTTGGTATCAAAGGGTTTATGTCATACAATGTACCCAAATTTTTTGGCTATTTCATTACTCATTAGCACCTCCACAGAAGCAGCTAGATGACTCAGTTCATAGTGTGCTGGGCCTCGAGTCAGAAAGACTTGACTCTGGCCTCCGACACTCGCTGTGTGACCCTGATCAAGTCGTTTAACCTCTGTTTGCCCTGGAGGCACCTAGGTAGCTCAGTGAATAGAACCTAGAGTTCTAGGGCCTAGCGTTAGGAAAGACCTGAGTTCAAATCTGGTCTTAGACACTTACTGGCTGTGTGACTTTGGGCAAGTCATTTAACCTGTGTTTGCCTTAATCTACTGGAGAAGGAGCTAGCAAACCACTCCAATATCATTGCTAAAAAAAAAAAAATCCTAAAGAGTATTGGTGTGCTATGGGCCATGGGGTCATGAAGAGTCAAACATAATTGAATGACTGAACAACAATAAAGAGGTAAGGTACTGAAGCAGTAAAGAGGTGAAGCGCTCAATAAGCACATGTCATACCTAACGTCGAGTACTTAAATTCATACTGTAATTGGGCAGGTGGAGGGAATGGACTGCTGAAATGAGTGTGCTAGGAAATGCATATTTTAACATGGATCTTGTTTTTATATCTGTACATAACATTCACATCAGGTATGTCTCTTTAATTCCTACAGATAAGTGGATCTTAGAGACAGGACCATTTTCTTTGGATCTGAAATGCAATTTTAGTTATCACAATCTTAGCCAATTTGCATAGTTTCTATCTAACTACTCTTTAGTTATTTGTCTGTAATAAAAACATAATTTTGATTTTCATTTTTCTTTTGCAGAGAAAAAGAAATCCCACCAACTCTTTTCCCCAATCGCAGCCCATGGGGCCTTAGTTACAATTGTCCTGTACATCCCAACTATTCATTGTTCAGACCGATTACTGTGGGCAATGATGGGAGCACATTGTGCGGACAGTCAAGGTTACAATCAGGCAGAACTGACCCAATACCAGGTGAGTCATGAACCAGTTATTATCAAAAGGGAAGAGGAAGGACAGCACGATTAAGTTTCTACTGAAATACATAATCTCCAAGAGGAAGAGTTGAATAACCACCCATTCTCATTTTGTGGCCATCCAATATGCCATAATAAGGTCAAACTGATATTAATTTACTTTAGTACAGACCCCTGCTTCCTAACTAGTGTCAGTGCATCCAGTCTCTCATCTCCGTTTGATCCTCCACACCACTATCAAAGTGGCATTTAAATCTACAGCAAGATCAAACGAAAAACCTCCAATTAAGGAGGGCACCTGGGTCAGCCATCTCTCTGTTTCCCACCCAGCTGCACTCATCCTACAAGATCACATCTGCCCTGGTCTTACATATCATGAGTACCTTCTGACCCTGGAGACTCTCTGATTGGAGGGCAGAGTGGAGAACTCCCAAGACCTCCATTTAAGGAAAGTGCCCAAGCCAGCTATTTCCCATTGCCCACCTGGGTGCAGTCCCTCGGATTTCTCCATCATGCTCCTGTGCTGGGTACCATCTCTCCCCTGTCCCCATTTTTAGCTTTTTTTTGGTAAGTTGTATTAATTGTGATTGTAAGCTCCTTGTTAGCAGGGACTGTATTTCTTTTTCTTACTTGTATTCCTATCACTTAGCACAGTACCTGGCACCTGGGCCCTTAATAGGTATTTATTGAGTGACTAACCACGTCATTCTCTGCTTAAGAAGCTTCAGTGGATCCCACTGCCTTTCAAACAGAATCCAAACTCTGTTTGGTATTGAGAGCCCTTCACAATCTGTCCCCACCCTACTTTTCCAGGTTTATTAACTTTACTCCCATCATATATTCTGTGCTTCAGCCAAACAGGCCTATTTGCTGTTTCCTATACTTGATATGATATTGCCCACCTTTGTGCCTTTTCTCAGGCTATCACTGATGCCTGGGATGCTCTTTCTCCTTGCCTCTACCCCTTGGGATTCCTTGCTGTCTTCTAGATTTAGCTCAAGTGCCACCTCCTTCAACAAGCCATTAATCCTGATTCTCACAGTTGTTATTCCATTCTACCCACCTCCATCAATTTGTAGTTATTTTGTATTTGTCCTATATTTCCTGCTCTGGGAACATAATTGTATCATTCCCATAGAATGTAAGCTCCTTGAGAGCAAGGACTAACTTTTTTTTTTATTCATAGCCACAGCACCTAGTATACAGAAAGTGATTAACATTTGTTTATTCGTTTGTTGCACATAGTAAGAAGTCAAGAAATATTCAAATAAATGAATGAAAAGAAAGACACCATCTAGCAGGTGTATGGTTGGGTTGTCTTATAAATTATTATTTTGTAAGACTGATTTTGAGCCTGAGCGAAAAATGTATTTTTTCTTGGTCACTAAGGTAGAAAAACTATCTTTTTAGGTTTTACTGTGATGAAAAGCTATCAATCCCAGCTGCTCAACAAAAAGATATTAACTTAAGTCTTCTCACCAAAGTATCAAGGGCCTATCCTGATCTTCAAAGTCACAGCTAATCTATGGTCTAGCTTAGGAGCCTTCTCACTCCATCATTGTCTGCACAGATGATGTCGCCATGTTGCAGGCTCATCTACAGCCTTCTAGGAAATACAATTCAGAGAATTCCTGCCATTGAGTAAGGCTATCTTGTGACAAAAAGTCCACAAACATGTCTCTACGTAGAGAATGGTAGAAGGAACTTAAAATGTTGCCTAAATAGAGAGGAGAAATATGCTGTCTTCAAATATTTAAAGGGCTGGTATTTGGAAGAAGGATTAGACTTTTCCTAATATCTCAAAAGAATAGAAGTAGACCTAGTAGATACCATTAGAGACTAGTGGAATCTGGTTCAATTAAGAAAAAAAAACTTAAAAAATATAATAGTCAAGCATGAAAATCAACTAACCTGTGGGGCAGCAATTTTCTTATCAATGAAAGTGTTCATTCAGAATCTGGATGACCTCTTGTCAGAGGAAGAATATATTTCTTCAGAGTCAGGGCCTGGACTAAATGATCTTTGAGGTTCCTTCTGTCTCTACAGTTTCTAATTCTATAATGGTAGTCAATGAGAAATCGAGGTTTTGAATGTGGAATTTCGCTTTATGGACATTTTTTCAGACATGTACCTATTTTATAGGGTCATGAATACCTTCATCAAGAGTTCTATAAATTTATCACAACATTATTAGGAACTCATTGCTACTGGGAGCATATTTCCTATAGTATTCACTGAATTGGGCACCAGAAATTTGCCCCCAAAATATCAAGGAGGAAAAAGAATTATTAAAGGGGATAGTCAGCAATATAACTTACATTACCCAAGTCAATCTCAAGATCAAGATTTTAAACAGCATGGTGTGATCAACTAGAAAAGGCCAATTACTTGGATCTTTTACAGCCAGACTGAACAAAATACAATGACGTGACACTAATACACTGAACAAAATGCTCTATTTTCTATAATCACATTTGCTGCACTAAAAAAAAAAATTAACAAAAAATTTCAGCACAAATGAAACATAAAATTTCTCATCTGTTCCTTGACTGAGATCACATGTTCTTGGATAATAACTGTGGGGTTTCCCTCTAGTGTTTATAAGGAATTTAGGATAAAATACCTCATATTCCTAAGGATTATTTTCAGCAATGGACAGACAAGTGAAAATCATTTTTATGTCTTTTCTTACAACTGAAGTAATAGAACATTTTCAAATATTTGTGTTTAATTTCAGGGTATTAGTTCTAAGAACAAAGTGACATGAACATGTAAGTGAGTGATCACTTCACTATAGTGAATTATATTGTACTGTTTAAACCTCATTTTTAGAAATATATACAATTAGTCATCCACTTACTTCACTAGGTAAAAATGTTATTTCAGTAAATCGTCAGGTTCAGATCAAGTCACATGGGTCCTAAGTGTTTTAGACTCAGGTTACCTGAGAAAATCCTTCTTCTGTCTCACAAAAACTAAGGCAAGTTTCACAACTACTACTGATAATCCTACTACTAAATTTCAAAAAATTGTAGATAGCAATTTTCTATAAATGTTTATTAGCTCCAAAATGTGTTTGTCTCTTGAACAGCTTTAGTTTATGTGCTTTTTTTTGTTGGGGGTGGGGGGTGGTGGCAGTCAGGGTTAAGTGACTTGCCCAGGATCACACAGTGTCTGAGGCTCCATTTGAACTCAGGTCTTCCTGACCCCAGGGCCAGTGCTCTATCCACTGCACCACCTAGCTTCCCCAGTTTATCTGCTTTCAATATGTAATTTAAAATAGACCTTTTAGGAGTAAGTCCAAGGTTCAGTAAAACTATAGTGCAGTAGTTTGCTGACCTCTGGTGAGATATATCATTTCAGAAGTTTACAGCATATGTTTTATGCAAACATACAACTTTTATCCTTTGGGGATTATTTTGTAGATGACAGATAACAAGCTAGATCCTCTCTATGATCAGGCTACTCCTTATATAAAATATATATATAAATATATAAAATATAAAATAATGTATCTTTGGAAACCAATTTAACTCTTTCAGACCAGTAACTTAACTATTTAGAAAGTTAATGCTTTGATATACTGAACAGTACAATGATTGACTCATTGCATTCAGAAGTAGATATGGTAGGGGGGAAAGAAGTTTTGTCATAACTAGCTATGTGGGAGGATATGGGTGGAAGTAACAGCACCTAGGCATTTAATAACACAATTACTACAAAATTATGTTCTGCAGTGCCTTCTGAGAAATTGGAACTTACTAAAATGCTGTTTTCCTGGTTTCTATGAAAACTAATTTTTTTTTGGTAGAGTGACTATTGAGAATCTTGTTTGTAGATCCCAGAGTAACCTATATGATGTTATTTGAAAGCTTACAGTAAGATCTCTCTGCCTAAAAAGATTTTTCTCCCTCCTAGACATCATAGAATCTAAAATTGCACTATTAGAAATCCATTCCTTTGGATTTTACTCCCTTTAGTCCTTTCATAAAATGTAAACACTTCTAAGAGGGGTAACATATTAAACAAATTCACCCTGAAGTGTTTGTGACTTATCAGAAATCACTTCCCCACGATAGGAAGAATTTGATGAACAGTGACATCAGTCTTTGAAAGCTGTACTATTTATTAGCTACTATTTAACCTTTCTGAGCCTCATCTATAAGATACATTTGTTTTAAAATACCTTGTAAAGCCTTAAAGCATTCCATAAATATGAGCTATTATTTGGCAAGAAAAAAGTGGATATTGTTGAGAGATGTATGAAGACTTCACCTAATTAACCTCATTTATTTATGAGGAGATGTGTAGTATATTCAGCTTTTATAAGAAACTGTATCCTTTCTGATACCTTGTCACTTTATGGGTTTGGGGTTTTAAGACCAATCACATAGAAAGTGATTATTTCCCCCATTCACTACACTTATAAACAATGTGATAAAATAGATAGGAAGATATTATACTTGAACTCAATGAAGATATGGATTACAATTCTATCTCTGATATCTACTAGCTATGTCTTCATGGGCAAGTCATTTAATATCTCTGAAACTGTTTCCTAATCTGTAAAATTGGGATAAAAGTATTTGTAGAATGTAGTACAGAGGGTGAAAATCAAATGAGATAAAGTGTATAAAATGCTTTGAAAACTTTCAAATGGTAGTCAAATGTCAGCTGTTATTATTATTTAGATAATTGTTTGTATGTAGGCTCCTTGCAAGTAGTAGGGATTATTTGATTTATTTTATTTGTATCCCCACCCAGCATAATGCTGGACATATAGAAGGTGCTTAATACATGTTAATTGAATGATTGTCACAAATTAGAGCTGTCTAAAACTAGAGTGGACTGCTATAGGAGGTTGGTGCTCCCTCACTAGAAGTCTTCAAGCAGAGGTTGAATGACCGCTTCTTGGAAATGTTACAGGTTTACCTGAGTTCTCTTCGAACTATGAGTGTCTATGAATAGTGATTGCCTTTGGATATGTATAGATAAATT